TTTTAATTCAAGCGTGGAAATGGCCCAAGTTAGTTCCGTATTAACAGGCACTGAGTAAAGTTCGGATAAGATAGGATACTGTCTGAGGTGCTCGAAACAAATGCAGTGTATCACGTGGATCTTAACGTACATGCGTCGAAAAAAACCAAGAATTTTTAAAACTTTATCATGTAATGGCATCCACAACAATAGGATTATACGCTTCAAAACGAACGGAACAAATAACAAAGCTTGTCGCAAGGTTGTAAAACGAGGATATTGACAAGTCAACTAAAGTATAACTTCCTAACTTTTTGAATCATTGGGCAATTGGACAAGATTACTATATATATGAGTATATGTAGTATAGAATGACAAGTCCATTTAGTTGGAATGAGAACAACATTGAGAATACAATCGTTGCGGTCTTCCGCTTAATAATCTGTGATATGTGAAGCGTATGATGAGGTATATGACCTTTCTACAAGCTGCACTTGTATAAATGAGGCAAATGTGTAACTACTTGACCACAATTTAGTGTTGATTACTATTCATCAAATTACTATATCTCAAGGCGTCAATCAGATGAAAATTATAGTCTTTGCAAAGTAATTCCAAATTCTGTAGCAATCAGTTAAGTCAGTTTTTGCTGCAAAGTGATTTATTGTGATGACACCGTACTGCATAGTAGAGGAGTCTGAATGCAATTCCGTCTTGTAATTTGCAGCCACAACCAGTGAGACTTACGTCATTTTCCTTGGGAACGAGCGAGTGCACTAATACCAAACTTACTAATTAAGGAAGTGTAAAAGTTTCCTGATTTTCTTGATAAATTGGTGCGAAATCATCCATTGCGCTTTTTGTTTCATTGAAGTTCTATGTAAAGTAATGAAGTCATTAGTTCGTCCCTTACGGAAAATCTGAGCCATATAGGGCATTCTTCATCTTATCGGCGACCTTCTATTTGATTATCCATCACTTATGACAGTACACATTTAAACCCTTGAATGAAAGCCCTAAAGTGAATTTCGATAATTGGAGCAAACACCAAATAATAGAAAAAGGACTTTTTGGCTAATCGCTTAGATGTTAGATCTGGAGTTAGGAAGGGAGAAATGAAGCGAAAACGGTGACTCCTCGGTACATTCTAAACAGCGAGATCCTTTCACTTGTGTTAATTTTACAAAAAAAAATTGAAAAGAAGACTACAATAGGTTAGATACATCACCCTTTTTTCCAAAACCTTAATCATGC